GAGCCAAGACACAGGAAGGCCTGGAAAGTACAGCCGGACAGTTCTTTGACCTTCCCTTCCCCAGCTCTAAGGCCCTTGATACAGAGAAAACAAGGGAAACCACAAGGACAGGCTTTTAGCACAAACAGACCCAGCAGGCCATGGTGACTAAGTGAACCACATAACTTATGAGCCAAGGCAAATGTCTCACCTGTCCCTCCTATACTAGCTCTTTATTACTGATAGTATTCAAACATTCATATGAAAGTGTTTAGAAACATAAGTTTTTAATTTCTCATGGGTTGAAGAGAGCCTGACCCCTTGAATGGAAGGATAAAGGAAGGCCAGAGGTCCTGAGATAGACATATGTTTTTGCTGCTGCATTGAAAAGAAGCTTTGAGGAAAGCTCATCCTCCTGCATAGAAATCTGGTAAGGTGATACAGTTTCTCATTGATCAGGCTGGTGTTCTAACCAGAAAGCAGGGCAGGTAGAATCATACCTCTTACTGGACACAGAAGCTTGGATATCAAAAAAGTTGGAAAGTAGACTTAGAAATTAATGCTACAGCTTTCCTGCAGAGAGGAAGGTGTCTCTAGAGACTGAGCTCTGCTACAAAGCTCTGGCTTATTCTTGAGGCTCCTTAGGTTCACTGAGCTGAAAAAGTGAAATGCTCTCAATCACCCTCCGGCCAAAGCTTACATCTGCAAAGAGGCTTTTAACAGCAGCCAAGTGGCTCTGACCTGTTTATGGCCAACATCTGACCTGGATAAATCTCTCTATTCCAGGATGAGTCAACACAGGAAAAAACACCCCAACAAACTTCAGTCTGTGGAAATACTCTTCAGCATTGAAAGGAGTATAAAATAGAAGCCAAAATGTGAAAACAAGATTTATTGCAGAAGAATTGAAATACATGTCTAAGATATTCTATATTGAGTTACTAAAAATCAAGAAACCATACACTTAATAAACAGTGAGGGATTACTCATTTAATATAAAAGATAAAATTGAAAGGAAATGGGGGGCCAGCTGGGGATTTAGTTCAGTGGTGCCGATGCCTGCCTTGCAAGTTCAAGGTCCTGAGTTCAATCTGTGGTACAAAAAGAAAAAAAAAAAATGGAAATGGGGAGATAAAAAAAATTGTCATTTTTAGTAAGAAATCAGAATATCAATAGCAGAATTGAAATCTATATAACACATGAAAGAATAGAATAAATATTACAGAGAATTAAACGAATGACCTACTAAATAAACTTGACATATTTCCTAAAATGAAATGGACCACCATTTCATTACACCAATACAATAGAAGGACTACCATAAAGGTTATTATTAGAGATGGAGAAAATTTAATTTAGTCAACTAATGTAAGATAACTTTTTATTCCTCAATGAGAAAACAAATGAAAATCAACAACACAAAATATGGCCCAGCTATTGCTCTACTGGGTATCTTCCCAAAAGAATTAAAAGAATCATACCACAGGGATATATGTGCACCCATGTTTATAGAAGCACAGTTTGGAATAGCTAAAACTTGGAAACAGCCCAAGTGCCCATCAGCTGGAGTCTGGATAAAGAAGATGTGTTTTTTTTTTTTATAAAATGGAGTACTCCTCAGCCATAAAGAATGAGAAACTAGAGACATTTGTAGCTAGATGGAAGCACACTGAGGCCATACTCTTAAGTGAAATAAATAGGACACACATGTGTAAATACCAAATAGTTTCTCTGGTGTGAAAAATTAAAAGTGTAAATAAGAATCAAAATGTATAATTGATATTGTGAAATAGGAAGAAAATGTCTAAAGGAGTAGGGCAATTGGGAGGGGTAGGGGAAAGGAAAGAAGGGAAAAGAAAAAGTATGAGAAAAGAAATGAATATTGGTGGCAACTATCTTCCAGGATCCCTTCTGTCTTTCAGGAGCTATCTCTCAATAAAGCTTTCCAACTCTTAAAAATATATATATAAAGAAAGATATATATTCTGAAAGAAGGAGGACATGAAGGTGATTTTTAAAATTTCTCTACCAGGAAAAATAAATAAAAAATATACCTTAGACATTGCAGTGATCAGTTTTCTGTTTTTATGACAAAATACCTGAGACCTTAACTTTAAAAAGGAGAGGTTTATTTTGGCTAACCATTTTGGAGGTGTCAGTCCCATGCTCACTTGGCCATGTTACTTTGGGCTATAGCAACACTGTTACATTGTGGCAGGAGTGTGTGGCAGAGGAGTCTGGTCACCTCATGGCAGCCAGGAAGTAAAGTGAGAAAGACAGAGAGGAAAGGGTTGTGTTCTATACCCTTCAAGTTCACAGTTCCAGTGACCTCATTTCCTTCATCTAGGTCTTACCTCTTAAAGGCTTCATCACCTCCCAGGAGCACCACAGCCTAGAGACCAAGCCTGGGTCTTTGGGGAATATTTTAGATCCAAAACAGAGAAGACATAGTTATTGTAAATTTTCTTGTAATCATTTTTGTCAAGGTTATGAAATAATTAGTTACACACCCAAGATATTTGGATAAAAGCTTATACCCTTAATATGTCTTTGCATCATCAGGGCCTTGGATCAAGCCCAACATCTTATCTTCATTTTATTAATGGAGACATTGAGATTTAAAATCACTTAAATAACTTTCTCATATCCGTGGGATATTTGCAGCACAAACATTTCCTTGGCAAAACTGGCAGGATCTATAATGTCAAACAAATTGGGAGATTACCAAAGGAATAATGTGTGTATTAAGCTTAAGAAGTACTCTAGGAGCAGAAATAGTGTCCTGAAATGTGCGAAGGAAACCACCATGACACTAAAACTAAGACATGGGTCTCTTGGTTCAGCAAGAATTCCAGCTTGTGCCACCCAAAGCAGCTCACTTGGAGAATCAATGGCAAGGAGGCTATGTTCCGGAAACTTCATCTCATGAACTGATAGCATCATGAGTGTCAAGAAATAAAAAACTGTAGTTAGTAAAATAATAGGTTAAGTAGTACACACTAATAATAAAAGAGAATAGTCCTTGGCCTTGCCCTTCAAATGCTCATTCCTAGAGAAATACTTTGAAACATTTTAGTTTTTGTTCCTCTATCACATGACCTTTTCCTCCAATAAGATGCTTTGAGACCTATGAAAAGACCAAATCCCACATAACCAATTGGAAGTTCGATACCTTAAGTCAAAAATGTACTCAATACACTTTACTGACCTAACATCATAGCTCAGCTACACATGTAGAGTATTGGTTCTTTACCATTGTGGTTGTGATCATGTGGCTGACTGGGAATTGTCCTCACTCTTCTGCCCGGATCTGAAGATAGTACAGTACCACACATTGCTAGTCCAGGAAGAGATCAAAAGACATAAGTCACAGACACTAAGTCTAAGACTGTCTGCATAGCTATATATAATTAAAATGTTACCACTCTTTTAAGTCGGTTTGTTAAATTTAATTTTTAGCAGGTAGTAACATAGTATGAAACCATTACAGTAATATATTTTGTTTCTTCTCCTTTCTCTCGTAGCAATGTAATTGTCACCAATTTAATCAAAGAAGAGGAAAAGTAAAACTAAATATGAAGATAGTACAAGAAACTTTTGCTAAATAAGAAGGGAATGGGGGGCTAAATGAAAACCTTTTCCAGCCAATGAATTTTGGGAAGAGAAGAGAGAGAGAAGCAGTAGGGATACCTGTGTCACAGTGTTGTTGAGCTTCTCACCACTGGCCACAATGGATGGAGTATTTTGCGGTTGTGGGAAAGTCAAAGACAGGTAGGGGGTGCAGAAATGAATTCCTGTTTGAGTAGGGCAGGGTGAGCATGGAGGCGCAGTGCAGTTACAGAGAAAGCTGTGATTGATGGCTTCAGTGTCTCCCTAGACTCCTTTGGGAAATGGAAATTATTCTTAAACTTCTGTATTTCCTTGGGGATCAGGGAAATAGTTGAGATGAGCACCATCTGGCCTACTACGGGGACCACCTTGGGTAAGTTTCTGATATGTGCGGTGTGAACTGAGCGAGAAGCCAGAGAAAGAACTGAGTGAAGGCATTTTTAAATATATTTTTCCAGAAGGTATAGATTTATTGTGTTTGACCTACAGTTTATCAGATGGAAAATGAGATGCTAATGCAATTCTTCTTGCTCTGGACTTAACGTGTTTTCTCCCTCTTTCTGGATGATTTTATTCTTGAACTTCTGAAATTTCATATAATTTATCCAATTATGGATCTGCTTTCATTTGTCCTGCTATTGCGTGGGAGTTCTTTTCAATCTGAAGGTTTGATTTGCTTTCAGCTGCAGGAAACTTGCTTGTTTAAAAATGATTTTATTTTGTTTCATCTCTCTGACTTACCAGCCCCAGACTGAAAATTATCTATGTTCCTTTCACTGACAGGATTAGTGCCACGTAGTAGAATATAGTCAAATTCAATAAAGTGAATGCAACATTATGTATAAGCATCAGACCTATAATGTTGAGTGGCAGCAGCAGGTGTAAAAGAACAAAATGGTGTAATTCTAATAATATCAATTACATAAATAAAATTGGCCTTTTCTGTTAGAATATTGGTTATCTTGTAGGGGACAATAAGGAATAGAAAAAACAGAAAGGTCTCTGGGTGGCCCGTGGCTCTATTTTCCTGCATAGGTGCTAATTTCACAGGTGTGTTCATTTGACAAAATCATAAAGCTGTTTGGTTTAAAATAAGCATAATTTTCTGTAATTACACTATCCTTAAACAAAGAGTTTAAAAGGCTAACAGCATACTGGTAGGAATACTTTTAGTATATTTGATACAAAAGAGTAATTCCTTCATAAGTAAAGGGAATTATCAAAATGAAAAGGAAAAAAAAGCAAGTACGCTTTAAAAATGTATGAAGAAGATTTTTTTTTTTTTTCCAGAACTGGGGATCGAACTCAGGACTTTGCGCTTGCCAGCCAGGCCCTGGTGCCACTGAGCTAAATCTCTGACCCTTAAAGAAGAATTTTTTTAAGTCACAAATGAATATATATACAAGTGACTAATGAATATTTTTAAAAGATTAAAACTCGGCAGACCGCCGCCTCTTCCGCCTCCCGCGGGCCCTCCGCCGCCGCTGCTCCGAGGGCTGGGGCCGCCTGTTGCTGGCGGGGCAGCGGCGGGGGCGAGCATGCCGGGCGGCGGCGCTTGGCGAGCAGGAGCGAGTGTACGAGTGGTTCGGGCTGGTGCTGGGCTCGGCGCAGCGCCGGGAGTTCATGTGCGGACTGCTGGACCTGTGCAACCCGCTGGAGCTGCGTTTCCTCGGCTCGTGTCTGGAGGACCTGGAGCGCAAGGACTACCACTACCTGCCAAGGCCAACGGTCTCTCGGACCCGGGGCCGTTGGCCGACTTCCGAGAGCCCGTCGTGCGCTCGCGCCTCATCGTCTACCTGGCGCTGCTGGGCTCAGAGAACCGGGAGGCCCCTGGCCGCCTGCACCGCCTCTTGCCCCAGGTGGACTCGGTGCTCAAGAGCCTGCGCGGGGCCCGGGGCGAGGGCTCGAGGGGCGGCAAGGAGGACGAGGCGGACGGCCATGGCGACCAGGCGCCGAGAAGGACGGTTATGGCGCGGAAGGCAGCGGCGGTGGCGCCGAGCCCGGGGCTGGAGGCGGGCTCGGCTCCAGGGCCCAGGAGAAACTGTTGCTGCTCTTCACCATGGCTTCGCTGCACTCAGCTTTCTCCTTCCGCCAGCGGGTCACCCTGAGGGAGCACCTGGAGAGGCTGCGCGCCGCGCTGCGCGGAGGCCCCGAGGACGCCGAGGTGGAGCAGTGCAACTTTCCCGGCTCCAGGACCCAGAACAATTCTGCTCGTGGTGATTACATGCAAAGTAATGAGACCAATTTAATAGAACAAGCCCCAATACCTCAGGATGGATCTACTGTGGCACCTCATAGAGCTCAACGAGAAGCTGTACACATTGAGAAGATAATGTTGAAAGGAGTCCAGAAAAAAAGGGCTGACAAATATTGGGAGTACACTTTCAAAGTAAATTGGTCTGATCTTTCAGTCACAACAATAACAAAAACCCACCAAGAACTACAGGAATTTCTATTGAAGCTTCCAAAGGAATTGTCTTCAGAGACTTTTGACAAGACCATCTTAAGAGCCCTGAATCAGGGTTCACTGAAAGGGGAAGAGCGGCGTCACTCTGACCTGGAGCCCATCCTAAGGCAGCTATTTTCAACTTCATCACAAGCTTTTCTACGGAGTCAGAAAGTACACAGCTTTTTTCGGTCTATATCGTCAGATTCTCTACACAGTCTCGATAACTTACAATCTTCTCGAAAACTTCTAAGATATTAGAACACTTAAAAGAAGACAGCTCAGAAGCTTCAAGTCAAGAAGATGTGTTACAGCATACCATAATCCACAAGAAACATACAGGGAAAAGTCCCATTGTGAACAATATAGGTACGAACTGTTCTCCATTAGATGGGCTTACTGTGCAATATTCTGAACAGAATGGAATTGTGGATTGGAGGAAGCAAAACTGTACCACCATTCAGCACCCAGAGCACTGTGTGACCTTGGCTGACCAGCATTCTGCTGAAAAACGGAGCTTATCTTCAATAAATAAGAAGAAAGGAAAGCCACAAATAGAAAAGGAGAAAATTAAGAAAACTGACAACAGACTGAATAGTAGAATAAATGGTATTAGACTCTCCACTCCTCAACATGCCCATGGTGGTACAATGAAAGATATGAATTTGGACATTGGATCTGGACATGACATGTGTGGAGAAACATCCTCAGAGAGTTACAGTTCTGCGTCTAGTCCACGACATGATGGAAGAGAGAGTTTTGAAAGAGAAGAAGAAAAAGACAGAGACACAGACAGTAATTCTGGGGATTCTGGGAACCCATCAACAACCAGATTTACAGGTTACGGTCCTGTCAACCAAACTGTCAAGCCACCTGTTCAAATTACTTCACTAGGAAATGAGAATGGAAACCTTTTAGAAGATACCTTGAACTCGCCCAAGTATCCACATATTCCTTTTATGCCAGCTTTACACTGTGTCATGCACAATGGTGCCCAGAAGTCTGAAATAGTTGTTCTGCCACCCAAATCTGCAGATGGCAAAACAATAGGGATGCTTGTTCCTAGTCCTGTTGCTATTTCTGCAATAAGGGAGTCCACAAATTCAACTTCTGTTGGAATTCTAGGGCCAACAGCTTCAAATGGAGAATCAGAAAAACACCTTGAACTACTGGTTTCCCCTTTACCTATTCCATCAACCTTCCTTCCACACAGTAGTACTCCTGCCCTACACCTAACATTTCAGAGGTTAAAATTGCCACTGGCACAGGGATCTTCTGAAAATTGCACAGTTAATATCCCACAACAACCATCCAGAAGTCTGAGCATTGGATCACCAAACACTGCCTTTATTCCTGTCCATAACCCAGGTAGTTTTCCAGGATCTCCTGTGGCTACCACAGATCCCATCACAAAATCTGCATCCCAAGTGGTAGAACTAAATCAAATGGTGCCTCAAATTGAGGGAAACACGGGGACAGTCCCTCAGCCTACCAATGTGAAAGTTGTTCTTCCAGCAGCTGGCCTCTCAGCTGTGCAGCCACCAGCTACCTACACCTTACCAGGCTCTCCTCTTGCTGCCAATGTGTTACCCACCCAGAATTCCAATGTGCTCAACACAGCAGCCACTTCTGCACAGCCAGCAAGTGCAGGCATTAGTCAGGCCCAGTCCACTGTTCCTCCTGTGGTTCCTAGCCATACCCCAGGTCCTGCCCCAGCCCAAGTCTTGCTTTGACACACAGTACTGCGCAGAGTGACAGCACATCTTATATCAGTGCTGTGGGGAATACGAACGCTAATGGGACAATATTGCCACCACAGCAGATGGGCTCAGGTCCTTGTGGTTCTTGCAGACGAAAGTGTAGCTGTGGGAGCAATGGAAACCTTCAGCTAAACAGTTACTATTATCCCAGTCCAATGCCGGGACCAATGTACAGAGTCCTGTCGTTCTTCACTCTGCCATCCATTTGCAATGGCAGCTACCTCAACCAAGCACATCAGAGCAATGGAAACCAACTTCCTTTTTTTCTGCCTCAGACTCCATATGCAAATGGACTGGTGGATGATCCAGCCATGGGGAGCCAAGCCAACTGTGGCATGCAGCAGATGGCAGGATTTGGGAGATTCTATCCTGTGTATCCAGCATCTAATGTAGTTGCCAACACCAGTGGTTCAGGGACCACGAAGAATGGGAATGTCTCATGTTACAATTGTGGTGTAAGTGGACACTATGCACAGGACTGTAAGCAGTCATCCATGGAGGCCAATCAACAAGGTAATCACAATAACTCCCAGAGGACTTGTTTTTGAGTTCACCTGTTTATCCTTTCTTTCTTACTTCTGTGATTCTGTTGTAGCAGAAAGATGTTTGTGTGTTCATTTACAGATGTTGTGTTTTCAGTTTCAAACCATAAAGTGCAAACAGAAAAGCGTAGTGTAAACCCAGGTCATACAGAGCACAAGGAAGGTCAGAGGAATATAGTTTCCAAATAAGAAACTCTAAAGGCACTTTCAAAGAACATAATGGGAATTCGACTTCTATGATGTTTGTCTTGCTTACAGCACTTTTATTAAAGCTACAATTCTGTTTTATAAAGCGAAATTTTTAAATATTAAAAAACTAGGAAGTATGTTAGTCATCTGACATATACAGTTTTTAGTAACTGTTTAGTGTCTGTGCATAACTACTGACCTCACACATATGCCCATGTTGTCCTTTCCCAACAAATGTGTAAGGAAAAAAATTCCAAGATTCTATTGCATTTTTATAAGAACAAAATAGTTAAATAGCAGGCTGGAGTAAGGGAATATGAACCAAATTTAATATTACTAACACCAGAAAGAAGAGAATACACTTACATAAATATAAGTAAGATATCAAATTCAGTGTAAACCTCAAACTGTTCTTTTAAACTTGTAGTTGGCCTTTGTCATTTTGCCAAATCTTACTCAGAAAAATAAGTCTTAAATTGGGAGTATACTGACCTGGCATTCTTAAAGCAAGGTCAAGTTTGATAGCTTTAGGTTAAACTTAAAGCACAAACATCACATTATTTTTTATTTTTAAAGTAATTTATTTGTCATTTTAGAATGGTGGTAGTGCTGAGGAAAGTGCCTCTGAAAGAGCATGCCCATTTGATATCTTGTAGTGATTTGTGATGCGTGTCATTGTAAGCAGTGACTTAGCAGTTCTGTCTTTCCCATTTTAGGCACTTACAGACTGAGATACGCGCCTCCCCTCCCCCCTTCTAATGATACGTTGGATTCTGCAGACTGAAACAAGTAAAGCTTGCCTACTTAATACACTCAAGTGTGGGGAGTCATGGGGTATTGAGGGGAGGAAAGGAAAGGTATTTTGTTTGTTTCTTTGTCTATACATTTCCTAGATTTCTATGCAGTTGGGAGTTTTTATTTCTTTTGTACCAATGTCCAAACTAAGAAAGAATGCGATGCTTCTTGAGCCTCTGGTCTCCTGGTTCAACAACAGGCTTATATATGTATGATATATGTAACTTAAATTTCCAGACAAACTTATCAAAAGGAAAATGTTGATGTGTGTTTTTTTAAAACACTGAATACTTGCTGTGTGCAATGTTTACTGAATCTTTAAAACTGTGTATTTGACCTTTTTTTTAACAACATTGGTGACGGTCATATGGTTTTGAAAAAGAGAAACTTTGCTTCTTCCCCACCTTTTTCACTTTGACCCTGTAATAGACTTTTCTCTCCAGCCACTTGCAACCCCGTCTGTGGCCTGCTGTGAGAGTGCCCAGGGGTGTAATTGTCTGCACTTCTGTAAATTGCTCTGCACATAAACTGAGAGCAGAGTGTTTCATCTTAATCTTATGGGAGAAGTCAAATCCCCAAGATAGTTTGTATATATGTAATGAACAGCATCACATAAGTACATATATGCAGTGCTCCTTGTCCAAATAAAGATGAAAATAAGTGGGAGAGAGAGGAAGAAGTCAAACCATATGAAGCTGAAAAAAGTGATGTATGAAATGGACAAAAAGCTTTTTCTTAAAAAAAAACCACAAAATAACAGCAATTTTTTCCTTCCATCATACTTCTCTAGCCTGTTGCTTCAGAGAGACACAAAGTGAACACACTGGTGTGAATGTCATTCTGTGTGTGCTTGTGTTTGTGATGAGAGTCAGCAGCCAGTTCTATTCGTCGTCTACCACCTTGTCTTGCTCAAAGACACTACTTGAGTAAAGATTTCTTCATTTGCTACCAACTGTTACAGTGTTATGTTGTGTTTAAAATGTGTGTGGTTATTGAACAGAAGCTGTGGGTTTCTACAAAAAGTCAGGTATTTGTTTCCTAACCTGTCATTCGTAGCAAAGTCACTTTTATAACGGTTTACTGCTATGCTTGATTATAATGTGAAAGACTGAATTCTGAGTGTGTTAAGATGGTATTAATCATGTCAGTATCATGTCACTAAGTTCAATGCTGCTGTTTAAAAAAGAAAGTTTTTAACAGCCAATCTATGTACCAAATTGCTTCCAGGTAATTTTTGATTTCCTAAAGTGCACTGAGGTTATCTGGAAGATTGGGTGTATTTTTTGGTGATTGCTGCATTGTACAGCAATGAACAGTTACCACTGTATAGTCATAAGTTTAAGGGGCTTGGGGGGCTATTTTCCCATTCCTCAATACAGAGCAGAAATGATAGGTTTTTGTTGTGTGTAATAATGTTGGTGTGCAGCAGAGAAACTTAAATATTTGGTCTTGGTTGAGAAGCCTAACAGATTACAAGACAAAAGAAAAAAACTTGAAAAAAAAAAAGCATAATTTAATGCTTCATAAGTAGCATTTATATTTATGGCACCAATGTACATTTTGAAACTTTCAGGGTGGGAGTTAATGGGGAAGGGGCAGAGGAAGTTTAAGGGGTAGATAAAAGCTTTAATTTAGAAAAAAAGTTTGAGGAAAGGAAATCATTTTGATTAAATATATTTTATTTGATTGGGTATTTTTGGGCCACATTAAATCAATTGTTAAGCTGCAGTTAAGTTGTTCAGGTGAGAATGTTGATAAGCCACATATGAGCACATTGTGAATCACTTGCCAGTTGTACGTTATGAAGCTTATTTTATGATTTAAAATACTGTACTGTACATAGGAGGTATGTTACCTTCTCCTTATTTGTATGTTTACCATATACTTTGATATTTCAAATGTTATGTACTGGAAAGGCCACTTATATTTCTAGAACAGATTGAATTTTATGCAATCTTTTTTTCTTGAATTAACAGCAATAAAAAAATTTAAAAAAGATTAAAACTCCCTGGTAAATAAATTAATGACATTGAAAGGGTATGATGTATATTTTAAGTTGCTAAGAGGAAAATGAAAGAGATACTGTATGTCTGTGAGGTTTTGGGATATGGGAGGCACCTGAAATACTGCATGAGGGGTTAATGCTATAGAGACTTTTGGATGGATGAGTGGACCCTGGCAGTAATCCCATGAAAGTGAATACTTGGGGGCCTGCTACTAAACTCTAGGAGTTTATCCTGAAGAATTAATTGTGGATGTTCATAAATATCTCACTGTATCAAGTATTTATAAAAGCTGATTTTTTTCAGAGCTGAAAAACTGTAACAATTAATCCCAACAATGCGAGATGGGTCAACCAATTTATGTTAAAGTTTTATAGTGGAATTTTGTGCAGCTTTTAAATTAATACTATGTATGAATATTTCATTATAGTCAACACTTTTTTTTTTTTTTTTTGGTACCCGGTATTGAACTCAGGACCTTGAGCTTGTGAGGCAGGTAGCAGAACCACTGAACTAAATCCCCAGCCCTCTTTAGTACGCATTTTAAAGTACTCTTTTCCCTCTAAAATGGAAATGGGATAAAATAATACTCAAAATGTTAAGTATATATTTCATAGGTGGAGCACCAATCATTTTAATCTTCATAATGTATTTAATTTTCTGAATTTCCAAATATTTTTATTATCAATATAAAGTATTTGTTACTTTAAAAAAAATCTTCTAAAATATTGATATTTTGCTTTACAAAATGAATTATTCAGATCCACAGAGCATTCTTTTTTGCCCTTGTATGATGAAGTCTTTTGACCATTTTTATTCATGTAGTTTCTGATACTGCTAAGCAGTGTTTGCTTAGCAAATCATTTGTTTCTATAAACTACAGAGATATTTTTAGTCCACAAAATTTTAAATAATTATGTTTTTAGAGAGCAATAGAAACAAGTAAAGAATGAAAATCTTGTCTCATATACAGGGAGAATGTAAAATTATATAATTCTTTCACAAAAACTATGAGCAAGCAGATTAATTTAGAGCTTCACTGCCATTTAAGCAGGAAACATAAATGCTCCATGTAGTTCTTGAACTAGATTCACAGACCAGATAGAATACTGACTAATCACATGCAGGCTAAAGCAAAAAAAGAGTATCCCAACTACTCAGGAAGCTAGGGCAGGAAGATTGCATGTTCAAGCCCAGTCTGGGCAATTTAGGGAGATCTTCTCTCAAAATAAAAAACATAAATAAATAAAACGGGCTTGAGAATGTAGCTCAGTTATAAACTATGTTTGATCCCCGGTACTGGGAGAAAAAAAAGCAGGACTGAGACGCATCAGGCTTTTCAGATGATTTAAGATTTAATCAGTAGCATATGTCAGGGCCCAGAGGGAATGAGATTCCTAAGGAAGATTTAGTTATACAGTCGTGGTAACAGTAGAAAGTGTGATATTGAAAGTTAAACAGTATAATTGGTAGTCTTTTGTTCTTTAGACTTTTGCTGCATATACATTTCACCTAATTTTCCATTATAGTCAATAAAATTACAGATATAAAACAGTTGTACTATTGCATGGCCATGGATGCTTTTAAAAGTGTACTACCGGTGCATAAAAACCAAAATAGTCTCTCAGGAAAAGTAAGAGAGAAAATAGAATTAATGTTAATAAAGTATTTCTTAGAAATTTCTGTGTATTCCAGTAGCAACTGGCAATGCTAAATCAAATCATCCAACTATATGTATGATATTTTCCCCAACTTGTCTTTTTTTGCTCTAATAATGCTACATACAATAATTATGTAAAAACAATTTAATTCATCCCAGCTTTTTAACAGTCAATTCAATATTTAACCTCCATCTATATTCGTATAGCAGATATGAATCTCAGTCTATATAATATTTTACTTTCTATATTACTTGATTTTTATTTTCATCTCCTATTTTGTCAGCTAAAAAATTTTAATTTGAGTCAGTTCTGGGATTTCCCACTGCTTGGCCTGAGCTCTGATTACTTAGTTCCCAAAGGTTTAGAGTCTGCCAAGACACCAGGTGTGTGTGTGGGAGGGCAATCTCTTATTCAGTTTCTCCTTCCATCCAGCTGATGCTGCTGTAGCATCCTTATTGCCATCTGCTCTTCAGCATTAGTCTCTGTAGGCAGCTGCTGAGTCATCCTTTATACCATGTACTAGAGACCCTGGCAAAGTTCCATCCACTTCCATGGCCTTCTCATACCCTATGGGGCTTGGTAAACTGTAGATCTGGCTAAGTTTATCCTCACTTTGGCATCATTGTGAGATGTACAGAATCATATTGTTCCTGAGCTATGGAAAACGCTACCATCTGTGTTTCCATATGTTCACTTGCAGAGATCAATCTGAGTCTAATCAATAAAGCCATCTTACAGAACTACTGTGCATACCAAAAAGTAGCATATCCTCTGGGAAGTCCAGCCCTGGGTGCAGAAATACCCTCCATGGATGTGCTTGCTGCAGGTGGAGATGATATACCTTTAGACATGCGGCTTGGTGAAAGGAATGTGAGCTGAAATCTTATCCTCCAAGGATCATGATTCAAAATCCACTCCTCTCCTTCCAATTCACTGTGTTTGCCTCTGGATATTAGTTGTTAAGAACACAGCTGAAAAAAAAAAAATAAAGAACAGCTGCGTAGGCAGCTGTCAATATACTAAGCAGTCCAATCATCAAATTTACGCTTCTTAATTATTTCCAAAAGGCAGTTGGCACATTTTTGTTAACTGCCCTGCTGAATTAAAAATGCACAGTCTTTTCCCCACCTTGTATCTCTGGGGATCAGATCCAGGGCTTTAGGCATTCTACACAAGTGCTTTACTAGTAAGCCATAACTTCAGCCCAGTGTCTCTGATACTATCCTGACCTCAAAGTCTAATACTCTATATTTTAATAAAGTGAGACTGAGCATTAATTACTTTTGTCTTTATTATTATTTTTTGATGAACACATAACAATTGTACATGTATGTGAAGTACAATGTGAAGTTTCCATTGAGGTATACATTGTGTAAAGATTAAATTAGGATAATTAGCATATTCATCAACTTCAATATTTATCATTTCTTTATAATAACTGTTCTCAGATATGAAGTTGAATTATTGGTAATAATATTCATTCTACAGCACAACAAACCAGAACTTAAGCCTCCTAGCACTAACTCAGTACCCACTGATCAACCTATCCCTATGTAGTCCCTACTCTCCTCAGCTTCTAGTAAGCACTATTCTACTCTGTTTCTTTGGTTTCTTCTTTTTTTTTTTTTTCCAGTGTTGAGGATTAAATACAGGCCCCTGTGCATGCTAGGCCAGCACTTGATCACTGAGGTACATCCCAGCCTTTACTCTCAACTTTTGTAAGATCAACTGCTGTACTTTGGTTCTAATAAAAGTGATATTATGTACTATTTTTGTGTACCTGACTTAGTTCACTTAATATGATACTGTTCAAGTCCATCCATGTTGTTCCAAATGACAAGATCTCATCCTTTTTATGACCAAATAGTATTCCACTGAATGTATGTGTGTATCTCACATTCATTTTAGCTACTCTTTCTTTGACATTTAGAGTGATTTGATTTCTTAGCTATTAGGAATAGTGTGCTGCAATAAAATTAGGAATGTATTTGTCTCTTCAATATACTGATTTTAATAGCCTTAAATATATACCCAGGTGTGATATTGGTGGATTGTACAATTTTTAATTTTTTGAGGAAGATC